CTCTCTCTGTGTTGTTCCAGGTGCAGCTGAAGTCAGTGGTGGAGGAGCTGCCTGGTAAGTTGGAGATGGTTCTGGCTGAGTCGGGCTCTAACTTCAGCGTGGGTCAGAGGCAGCTGGTGTGTCTGGCCAGAGCGCTGCTGAGGAAGAACCGCATCCTCATCATCGACGAGGCCACGGCCAACGTGGACCCCAGGTACTAAACCACCGCGCTGCATCACACCGCAACGCATCTCTGGCTGGAGTTTTTTTTAAATGATGTCTTCTCTTGTTGCCGTCGTCGTGCAGGACAGATGAACTGATCCAACACACCATACGAGACAAGTTCAGAGACTGCACCGTGCTCACCATCGCTCATCGACTCAACACCATCATAGACAGTGACCGGATACTGGTGAGTCCTGCCGCTCACACATTCTACCAGAGAAACGTTTAGATCAACGTCTACAGTCACAGGTTTCAACTACCTTGTTTACAGGTGCTGCAGGAAAACACGATTCAACAGCACCATGAAATTCAGTTTCTGCACATTTCAGGATGGGAACCTGAAACAGTCATGTACTCGCAATGATAGACTTCTTGACGTCCCCATTACTAGGCTTGTTACTTTAGACTCTAATTATTTAGTGATCAGTAAAAACTGAAGTGTGTCTCTCTATTATTTGTGGAGGTATCTTGAAAAATGTGTTTTGCGAAAGTTTGGAGAAGTTTTTTTCAGCCCTTATTTCCAGCATATGGTTTGTAGATCTACTCACCCACAGAGGTTTGGAGTAACTTGGAGTCCTTCGGAGGCTTTTAGATCCACACGTGATCGGCGTATATCCATACAACGCAGGTGATTGGGGCATCCAGCCTCAATCAGCCTCTAAATAACCATCATCTGCAGCGAAACTCTTTGTTTACTATGAATCTGCAGCACTTGTCCCCTGTGAGTCCAAGCGGCTTTGTTTACATCCTGGGCTTTCACTGGGGTGACGTCACCGAGGCGCGCCGCCGCAGCGCACCTGACGATCAGTTGTGTTTGTTTACACGGAGTTTGCTGCTGCTGGTTTTGCGCGACATGGCCGAACACTGACCAGGTGCTTCACAGTACAGGGTTCTGTTAAAGCAGCTGTGTCCCGGTGCTCGGGCGTATTCACCCGGCTAAAGGCTAGCTAACTTCAGCGGGCTAACGAGCAGCCTCGGAGCTAGCGTTAGCTTAGCGAACCGAGAGCGAGTTGTCTTCCTGTTTAGTCAACAAACCGGGTGAATAAAAAGCGTCCGAAGGACTCCGAGTTACTCCAAACCTTCATGGGTGAGTAGATCTACAAACCATATGCTGGAAATAAGGACCAGGTGGAAAGAAACCGAGCTTCTCCTTTAACTGGGAATCTGCCAGTACGAGCATTTCCAAAGAAAACAATGAAAATGTCCTCACTCCAGTTTCCAGGGAAATAATCCCTACCGTGATTTTGTCTCCAGGTTCTAGATGCAGGGAAGGTCCACGCCTACGATGAACCTTACACTCTCCTTCAAGATCCTCACGGCATCTTCTCCAAGATGGTGCAGCAGACTGGGAAACAGGAGGCCGCTGCTCTACTGGAGGCTGCTAGATTGGTGAGTTTCACTCCCAGTGTACGTCATATGCTGCGAGAAGCTTCTCTGTCCCTCTGACATTGAACTGACACTTGCCCGGTTGATGTACTTTCAGGCTTACGAGAACAGAAGTCGCTCCGACGTACCGAACGGACACAAAGATAGTTTGGTCATCTGTGAGACGTCCATGTGAGCTCAGGGAGAAAAGCCAGAGACCTTCACAAAGTGCCTGAGCCAAATATACGCACACGGGGCCGTTGCCTTCAAGCCGGGAGCCTTGAAACCACTGCTGTAAAAACTTGATATAGACACTATTTATTTTCTATGCTTCCTATTTATATGTTAACAAACTGAGGCCTTAGAGAAATTGCTGTTAAATGGCCACATAATCACTTCAATTACTGTACGAGATATATTTATGTTTGATTTTGTACTTGTTAATGTTGACGTACAATAGAACTGTTTAAAGTAGCCTTTGTAAATATGAGTGTATGCACAGGATTAATGAACAGATCTGAATTTACAAAGGTGGAAACAGCTGCTACGACGGAGCTGGAGTGTGTTGAATTATCCTCCTTGTTTAAATTGACACTTTTAGTTTGTCACTGTTTTAATTGTGTTTCGATGATCTGATATGTTTGTGTTTTGTTGTTTCAAATGCTCCATAAATAAATACATGTCCTACTTTTAGTTGTGTTTACAACAACACAGAAATATGTGGAGCTCAGGGTTTTACTGATGAAAAACAATTTAAATGAGACCGGAACTCAGTTACACATGAAAAACTTTATCAAAACAAAAGAGGAAATTGTGACCACAGGTGTCTGAAAGTCTGAACGATCAACGAGTTGTTGAGTAAAATGAAATATCCAGTCGTCACTGCAAACCTGAACAAGTTCTCTTGCATTTGGTCGTGTTAAAACAAACAGTGTCAGGTAGTTCAGTTGATCTCAGGTTCACTTTCATCTGGAGTGTGTTGGTTTAAAAATGTGCTCTCAGGATGGCTGTGATGCCTGTAAACACATGGAAACAAAACTTTAATATTCAACACTTGGGTGAAGAGTTAAAGACAGGAAGACGTGCACCTCACCTGTCTGGCTGACTGGAGCAGGGCGGCCGCCTCAGCTGGACCCATCTGCTGCACCATTTTGTACAGAGCCCCCTCTTTGTTTTGTAGCAGGGTGAAGGGCCTGTCTAATTCCTGGATGGTGCCGCTGTCGAGAACCTGAGAGCAGAGTAAATCAACAACAATTTAAATGTATCACTGAACACTGAAATATTTGGCTTCATATCTTAAACACATTGGGGACTCACCAGTATCCGGTCACTGTCTATGATGGTGTTGAGTCGATGAGCGATGGTGAGCACGGTGCACTCTCTGAACTTGTCTCGTATGGTGTGTTGGATCAGTTCATCTGTCCTGCACGACGACGGCAACGAGACAAGACATCATTTAAAAAAACTCCAGCCAGAGATGCGTTGCGGTGTGATGCAGCGCGGTGGTTTAGTACCTGGGGTCCACGTTGGCCGTGGCCTCGTCGATGATGAGGATGCGGTTCTTCCTCAGCAGCGCTCTGGCCAGACACACCAGCTGCCTCTGACCCACGCTGAAGTTAGAGCCCGACTCAGCCAGAACCATCTCCAACTTACCAGGCAGCTCCTCCACCACTGACTTCAGCTGCACCTGCACACAA